GAGAGCTTGGATTTGGATTATTTGCATGTAAACCCTCTTGAATGCACTGTCCTCACAAAGATTGTTTGCTAAAAGAAAATTTGATGAGTAGATATCTCTTGTCTTTCATAGATCAGAGTAGGATTTCTCTGCTTCCAACCAACCAGTTTCTCCTCAAAGTCCTTCACAATAACGAAACCCTTGGAGGCTAAAGAAATAAGTAAGTTGCCAGGGTAAAGGTCAGAACAGCACATTTCTAATCTTCTTAGATAGGAGAGTGAAATTCTCTCAATAGCTGCAGAACATAATATTCTAGAGAGAGTGATATTCAGTTCTCTAGTGAGCTGATACAATGCTTACCTCTTGCATAAAGACTGAGAAACCTTGCTCTGGTAGGATAAAATAGCCATGAAGAAGTGAAGAATAAATAGGAAGTTCACTCAAACTTGTTGCAGGAAAAGGAAGAAAATCTTCCAAATCTAGGGAGAAAAAAAAAAAGGTCACTTTCAGTTCTGTGAGTGGACATGAACAACAGTGCTTCACTGTTGATTATGTATAGAGAAGTGTCCTTTCAGAGTCTTATTTTCCACATTGCTTTCCTAGTGTCTCCAGCTCACTAAGGCCATGCTCACTGTCCATGCTAAATGTATCAGAGTTTTTCCGACCTGAGGAGTTAATTAAAGCCTATGGGGAAATGTTAAAAAAAAATAAATAAATAAAAATAAAAAAAGAAAAGATAAAGATAAATAAAAATGGGAAGGCAGAACAGCACCATCTTGAGCTTCTTGTGGTCTGCTCACCCCTCTGCTTGTGGCCTTCCATCTGCGGGGCTCACTCTGCAGCCTCCACGGACTTCCAGTGGCTGCAGAAGTGGGACATGGATTTCTGGCAGAGCAATGGGGCAATGCAACTCTGAATTGCACACCAGTGAAGACCTGGCCTGGGGATAAAGATCTGGGCCCAGGCTGGTCAGCTTTTCTGGGTCAGGAAAGGTGTACACAGTCCAAGAGGCTGGAAACGGTTTTCTCCTTTCTTTCCCCTGGCCTCATGGTGGAGCATCATCTGCCAACCTCAGGTCGGGGGAGGACAGGGGGACCTACTTGTTTTATTTCTATTCATTTATTTATTTATTTTTTAGCCCAGAACACCTCTTCCTGTGACCTCTGCCAAGGCGGCGGTGGGACACGAGCTCTGTGAAGCCGGAGGCAGGCTGACATTCCTGCTCAGCCCCCCCGCCCGGGGTCGGTGCCGGCTTTTCCCCCGTCCCCTCCCCGCTGCCGCGCTGCCCGGCACGGGAGGCACCGGCGCCTTTGTCTGCACCCTCATCTCCTCCGGCGTCCCCAGATGCCAGCACCGGCGGAGGTGCAAACTATCTGCATTCCCCTTAATGGGACTGTTAACTCGCCGGGGTAATTAGGGCCAGGGGGGTGTCAGCGCGGTTAACCTCTTTATCGCTGGGCACGGCACCGGGACGACTCGGGGGGGCTGCCCCGCTGCTCAAGCCTCCCCTGCACGCCCCCTCCTCTCCCCGCGGGGGTCCTGCGCCCCCCCGGACTTGCCCTCCCCACCTCCACGGGAGCCGGCAGCCCGTCCCCGTGTGAAACCAGTCGTGCGTGGACACGGGGGGGCTCCCCCCTCTCTTTTCTCCGGCGGCCGCCTTTTGGTGGGCTCCCGCAGCCCAGCGTGTCCACCTCGCCGCCCGCTTCCCCCGTCAGCGCTCGCAGCCCGGAGGGGAAGGCAAAAAGTCTGCGGGACGAAGTTATGGACCACCAGACCCCTGGCGAGAAGCCCCCCGCCCCGGGCACCCCGGCACTGCCCTCCAGCGCCGGGGTTTCTCCGGCAGCCCTGACCTTCATCCCCCCGAGATCCCCACCCGCGCAGGTGGCCCCGCGTGGGTGCCCAGACCCATGCTGCGGGGGAGAGTGCAGGGTACTGCTCCATGTCTACATCCGTGAAGATACTATTTTATTTTATTTTATTTTATTTTATTTTATTTTATTTTATTTTATTTTATTTTATTTTATTTTATTATTTAATTTTGTTATATTTTTATTTTTAATTTATTATTTTATTTTATTTTATTTTTATTCTCCCAGGTGTGATGCCCACTGTTCCCAAGAACCTTCATTTTGAAACGGAATTGTTGCTTCCCTGGAGGGTGGCTGGTCAGAAGTCAGGTGTTTTGGGGTTTGTGGTTGTGGGGTTGTTCTGTTTTCCTTTTTTTCTTTTTTTCTTTTTTTTTAATTTAAAATACAATGCTGAGAGACAAAGAGGTAAATTATCTGCCTCGGCGTTGATGGTACGTCAAAGATTGCAAAGCCCAGGCGCTCTCTTCCTGCGAAGAGGATGATTTATAGAAAATTGCAGGCAGAACACATGCACATTCTGGCAGCCTTAAAGACAGTCCCTCCCTTTTCCTTAATGTTCTTTTATCAGCTTCTTAGGAGGTGTCCGCTTCATTTGTCTGCATGAAACCAGTAGTCTTAGTAGGAATCCCCAGTTCTGATGTTTTTTCCCCTTTTCCTTAAGAAGGATTCTCTAAATCCAACAGTGCTCCTTCTGCCCAGATATTATCCTTCCTCCTATTTCTCACAGCACTTGTTTGGGGTGAGGGGGAGAGCGGGGGGGAGCGGAAAGAGGAGAGAGGAGGAGGGAGAAGATCTTTCTCCTGTTTAGTGATTAACTTGCACGGCTCAAAGAAAGAGAAGATTTAATAGGAGAGATCCTGCCTGTGTGCTTTGTACTTACGGCACTCTTGCGGATGGGAAGACCGGAGAGTGCATGGGTTTAATGTTTGACCAGTACCTGGGCGACCGATTTTTGTTATTTTATTTTACTGCTATCGTTAGAGTTTCTGCATTTGGTCTTCAGCTAAGCTGGGAGAGTTCAGACAATGAAGTCCTAGCATGCCTGACCTCTCCCAGAGCCAGTAAAATCTGGACTCCTTTAAGAAGATCATCTCAGCTTCACCACTCACACAAAACTTCCTCGGAGCCGGGGAGAGATCTCCCCCTTCACCCGAACCGGAGCTCTGTGGTTCTAGTCTCTCTTCCACCCATGCAAATTGCAGCGCTTGAGGGCTCGAGAAATCCCAGTGATGTTCCAATACCAGCCATGCCCTTGTGCTCAAATTGATTTTCCCTCACTCCCGTGCATTGATTTTATGAGTCTGCACATAACCCCTAATCCCCCCACTCCCCCCACCCCCAGTGTTAGGCATAACCCTAGAAAGAATCTGACCTGTTGTTGTAGAAAGAGTAGAGGGCTGGGGGGGAGGGGGGTAGAGCAAAAGAAGTAGCTAAGCACAATGCTTAATAGAACGAGGCTAAATATAAATGCAGACTACAGCAGCTTTGTCTTTCCTTGCTTGCCTTCATCACCAAGATACCTTTCTTTGTGAGCCTTGATCGTTTCTTTCCTCGGTTTAAATAATCAGTCACAAAAGAGCAGACAACTAGGTGTTGGAAGGCATAAAAGTTATTTTAAGTAGGATTATTTATTTTATTTTGCAGCCAAAAACGTTTCACCAATGTAGGAAGTGATTTTGGTGCTCGGTAGTACAAGCTCTCTTTTCTCCTAAATGCTTGTGAGAAATAAAAAACCTGGAGATGACTGTCTTTATTTCCGGGAGTAGACTTCAAAATACGTGCCAGAAATGGACAATTTGAGTCTCCTTTCTCCACATCAAATGCGAGCTGGAAGGGGGATTAAAAACCAACCACGTGGTAGATCTGGTTTTATACTTTGCAACCTCCAGCTCCATTTATGTTCTTTACCCTGCTCAGGGAAGATTAGCCTCTAGATGGATGTGTCTGAGGGATCACCTCAGGGGCAGATCTGCATGCAGAAACCGGTTTTTGCCATGGCTGGAAGAGAGCTATGACCTAGCAGAGTGCTCCATCTGAGCGGCTCCCCCAGCATCGCAGGAGCTGCTGAGAGCTCCTGTGCAGGAAGCTTTGTGAAGGCAACAGCTTGGAAGGGGAAGCTCTTCAGATCTTTCCCCCTTCTTCTCCTCCTCCCTGGCCCGTGAGTGATTCAGTGTCCCAAACCTTAACTTTTTGTTACCACCTTCCTCCTCTTAATCTCCTTCATCTTCAACACCTCCTCCTCTATCACTACCATCTTCTCCTCCATCTGTCTGCCTCCTGGATCTCTCTCTTGTTTGCTTGCTTTCCCCCCTCCTCTTCCACCTCCCTCCTTCTCTTTCTTCTTGCCTTTTCCTCCTCTCTTTTCTTCTCTTTTCTTTCTCTTTTTCCTCCTCTTCCCCTACACGTTGTTGTTGTTGTTAGAAAGGATTCTTGCACCCCCTGGTGCTCTTGCGTTTTGTGTGGTAGGAGAGGAGATTGTCTTCTTTCTCTCTCTCCCTCTGGTTGCTCATTATTCAGAGAGAGACACAGAGGGTGAGTGAGAGAGAGAGAGAGAGACGGATATCTCAGGTCATCTGCAGCTGCAGCAAACCAGTGAAGGAGAGAGAGAGAGGGAGAGAGAGAGAGGGGGGGAAAAGCAGGGAAAGATGGCGATCCTCCATTGCTGAGACCTGGCAAGGAGCACATGAGACTCACAAAACAACTTCCACAACAATAACAAGAAGAAGAGCTAGGCAGAGAGGAAGAGGAGAGGAGACAGCAGCAAGAGCAGCAGTGCCGGGACGCTCCTGTAAGTTCTTGCAATTAAAACCCATCTCCGGTTTGGCATTGGAGAGATCATCTCTCATGTGTATATATATATCTTTTTGTTTGGTCTTCTCTGTCTTTCTTTCTTTCCACCACCTTCCTCTGAAATCCATTCATTCGGCCAACGGAGGAAGGAGGAAGAAAGAAAGGAAGAAAAAAAAAAAAAAAAGAGAAGAGAGGGAGCGAGAGCGGGGTGTTTTGTTTGAGAGAAGTCTCTTGCATGGAGGAGGAGAAGAGGAGGAGGTGCTGGTGGTGGTGGTGGTGGTGGTGGTGGGAGGAGGAGGAAGGCGGTTAATTAATTTTTTGTTGTTGCATTAAAGGGGGGGGGGGGGGGTATGGGGAGATAAGTGAGATATCAGTCGAGCTTTCGGGGTGGGGGTGCCCGTGTGGATATGTGTGTGTGTGCGAGGTCTGGATGGTGCTGTGCGTGTGGACTTGGATCAGAGACGGGAGAGACACGGAGGAGAGAAAAGCTCCGTGCTGGCACGACCCAGGCAATCGGGTGACCTCTTTCTTCCTTTCTTTCTTTCTTTCTTTCTCTCTCTCTCTCTTTCTTCCTTCCTTTCTTTCTTTCTCTCTCTCCCTCTCTCTCTCCCCCTCTTCCTCTCCTGCTCTTTCTCCTCGTCCCCTCTCGCTGCCCTCTCTCTCGCCGCTGGCGAGGCTGGTCCCTCACCCCGCCGCTGGTGCCCCCGCCGCCGCGCTCCTCCACTTGGGATGCGGGGGTCCCCGGCGGCGCCGGGGCTGGGGGGCTGGTGGTGCCCGCAGGAGGTTGCTTGGAGGAGGACAGCGTTCAGCTGGAGAGCAGGAGCCATTACACACGCTTCTGCTCTCCTTTGAGAGAAAGAGAGCGAGAAGGGAAGAAAGGAAAGGGAAGGAGCCCACTTCTTCTTGCTCACTTCTCCGATGTCCCTACCTTTAAACCAGGCAAGGGAGAAGGAGCTTTCTCCCCTGCCCCTTTCTCCACCACCCGGAGCAGCTTTCTCCCTATCTCTCCCCCTCTTTCCCTTTCTTTATCTCCCTGTCCTCCATTTGCAAGCTGTCTGCTTTGGTTCCAGTCCAGGCTCCACAACACAAAGCTTCTCCTCGCTCTCGCACACATGCACACACACAGTCTACAGGCTCTTTATGTCTTCTGGAGTAACCTTCTTCTCTCCCCCCCCCGCGTCCTCTTAGCATTGTGGTTTCTATTCTCCACACAGAGAGATCCTCCTGGAGCTTCATGTAGTTGTGATCTGATAGGATTTCTCCCCGCCTCACATCCCTCTTTTGGGAGAGAAAAGGGAAAAGTTTCATTCGTTTTTCTGGTGTTTGGAAGGAGAAAGACCTTCAAGTTTGAGTGCTTTCTGCTGCTGCTTTTGTGTGTGTGTCTGTGGGGGTCTGTTTGTCTCATGAAGCTGCTTGCATGTCTAAGAGGAAGTGACTAGTTTGGCAGAGAGCTGTGATCTGAGTCAGGTAAGCCATGTCATGTTCTCTAGCTCCACCAGAAAATGGAGGAGAGAGAGAGTAGACAAAGCTGAGATGGGAAGTGCTCCTAACATCGTGGATGTGTCTCCATGTTTTGAAGCTTTGCTGGCAGAAGCTGGCTTAATCATGATTTTTTCCCCTAGGGTTTCTTCAGTTTTTTCAATGTACAACATTGTGATGGGTCTTCTCTCTGACTTCATGCTATCAGGAAATGAGGATTGGAGGAAATTGCTCAGATTCTCCTTCACACAGAGAAACACATCCTCAGGCTTTTTTGCTCTTATGCTTTCATGTGGAGGTCACCTTTCTAGACATTTTTCTTTGGTTAAAGACCACAGAATTTAGGAGGTTGATCAGTTGACCAAAGAATTGTGTATATATGCTTATATTTATAGATTTTTGAAAGCGTTTGGAGGTAAGTGCGCAGAGATTGAGGCTGCTCAGGTTCTTCCAGAGAATGTCATGAAATGTCATTTTTTTTTCTAGGTGATGCTGTTGATGCCTGATTTATGGGATTTTTAACTTCTGATTTTCAAGAGCGTTCCTTCTTTTGGATTTATTTTATATTAAGATGGAATATTTCTCCCCACTCACTAGGTTGCATTAAAACGATACTGGCAAGCTTTTAGTAGGTTCCTCAGAGCATCATAAAATACACAATTTCTCTTGGAAAAAATGAAGCAGTTTTCACAGCTGTCTTTTTTGGTGTCTTTAAACTTTTTTTTTTTTTTTTTCTGAAAACTTATGGCAACATTGTTGTTATGATTTTAATGTAATTATGGAAACCTAAGATCTTTAAAGAGATATAGCAGTTGAAAAGGAATTTGTGTGATTTTTTTTAGCCCACCTTTTAATCTGAAATCAGTTTTAGTAGTCTCAAACCAGGCCTCACTCTTTTCCCACCAATCTTGATTTGCACATCAGATGCGTAGTAGATGCAGTTCCTCAAAAAATTCAAACTACATGCTGAAACGCATGAGGTGGATACCAGGATGCAGTACTACTGAGTTTGAACGCACAGCTCCATAGAAAGGTAGCATTCATATGTAGATTATTTTGAAGCATTTAAGAAGGAATGTGTTATATATGGGAGGTATATGCTATAGAATAGGAGACCAGTGAATCTGAATCAAAACACACTCCCACATGGGCACCAAGAATAGAAAGATGTGATGACTGTAATCACTAAAGATGAACTTGGGATCCAGCTACTGCAAGGTTAAAATCAATGTCCTTGTTTCATTTTTCCTGTGGAATAAATTGTGTAGTATATACTCTAATATTATTGGAAAGTATACTGCATTATCAGCTGTGCATTTTGTTAGTTCTGGTTGCTGATAATGTCACACAAAGTACTGAGATACTGTGGTTATCTCCACCCTTCTGAAATGAAGCACTTTCAGAGGTGGACTATGCAACATACCATTTCATGTATGCTTCACCTTACACTTTGACAAAATAAGAAGGGAGGTTAACTGTTTTTTTTTTTTTTTTTCTCTTTTTTTCTTTTTTCCTTGATGTGATGTTCATTGATGCACTTTACAATTTCTGTACAGGTCTAAATCAGCAGCCGCTGAAGATAATAGCAAAGTCCTCACTGACCTCTGCTGGTTGGGTCAGATCCTAAGTATCCATTCTCTCTATTCAGTATATTGTCTCCATAGGTATCTGAACGTGTTTCATAGTTCAAAATCATGAATTTCCTCTTACTTCTTGAGAAGTCAACTCTGTTTACACTACAACGTGACCTGCAGATACACTGTTCATAAATGTGGCACGTGCAATACAAGAACAAGGTTGAGATTTAAGCTGTGGATCTTGATGGGAGGGCATCTTGCCCCTCTCCTGTGGTGACAGACACCCTAGGAAAAAGAACATTTTTGCATTGGTTTGTATTGGAGAGTGGTGTTATTTATGGGTGTTTTCTTTACTATGAGACTGAAATTATCTTTAGAGAAGAATATTCTCATTAATGATGATCCTTATTTTAGTCTGCCCAGACTGAATTTCACCTTACTGTTAGAAGACTAGCTGAGTGACTTTTATTTTTCAAAACAAAATAGCAAAAAATGAAACAAAAGGCTTTCAAGGGATCTAGAATAATAATTTTAATTCAAGAGATAGTGATGACCAGTATGTTTCTTGTCATCAGACACAAATTTCTTCATTCATATATTGGGCTTCAATTGCTTTTGACTTATGAGCACCCACAGTTTGTCCATGGTGCAAGATCTATCAGAAACTGCATTCATAGCTTATTGTTCAGTATATAAACTAGCTTTTCTTAATCACTTTTCTCAACCCCGCCAAACAAAACCTAAGGACCACTGCTTTAAAAATATTTCAACAAATAGTTGATTTCCTTATACATTTTTGTTAGGTTAAAAATGAACTGGAGAAACTTAAAACATCATGTTTAGAATTTCTTTCCATTGGTTTTAAAAATAATTTCGATACAGGAGGAAAACTAAAAATGTGTTGTATATGCCCAGGCAGTGAGGAATATGAGTACACAGTTGGATGCTAGAAATGGAAAGTAGTATAACTGCAAAGACAAGTGGAAAAAAGATGGTCATTTTAATTTAGTAAAATTTATAACAAATTTTATAGTGTTGTGAACTTTGATTTAAAGGAGAATTGTCTCTTATGAAGACATGAGTAATTAAAGAGTTGATAAGTATTGGAGAAGAACTGCTTTCAACATAGATGTCTGGACAGCTGGCAGGTGTTACACTGGGCCCCAAAGAATGGACAAGTTTAATTTTAGTCTTAGAAAGGAAATGTGAAGAACTAAAATCTTATAATAGTATAGGTTACCGTTTGAGGAAGGTTACTTCAGAAAAGCCCCAAGATGCCTCCTGAAATTTGGAATTCCAAGAAACAAGTGTAAATGAGTTTTTTTCTGTGAGTTTCCTATGATTCCAAACAACATGTGGAGTTACAGTATAAATTGAGATTGCTCTATTTTTGCTATAACACTTTCTCTGTATGTTGTTGTGGATAATTACTTAAACTGAGCAGAAGAACACTACTTTGAGCTTCATAATAGGGCAGTGTGAGTAAATGAAGTAGGAAACTGCAGAAAAAGGACTTATATCTGCGAAATTATTGAAAAGCTATGTAGTATTCATTTACTCACATTACCCTATTATGAAACTAACAATAACCAAACCAAGCAACAAAACCTGTAGAACAATAATTATCAGAAAAGAAAAAATCCTAACAAAAAAACACCACAACAAAAAATGAACTGAAATACTGAAAAGAATGTTTGAAAGAAGCACAATGGTAGAGGAAGAGAGATACTCTTCTGACAGATCAGGAAAGGTCCATGAAGACCCATATCATCTTTGAATCATTTCAGGTACTATGTTTCCCTATAGTTTGTACTTTGGTATATTTTCAATGTACTGTAGCAGAAAATAATATAAATGCTCTTTTTTCTTTTTTCCTTAATCTTTGTTTTGAACTGAAATCATGTCTTTCATGAACTTGTTCCAGAGGAAAAAGGTCTGCTGTTACTATCAGCTGTATGATTTGCTTAACACTTGAAGGATGTGATCAAGTATGAAGTTCTAATTGCTGGCTTTAGTAAAATGTTTTAACTTCATCAAGCTAAATGCTTGCTATCTTTTCAAAGAGTTGCTTCCATCTAGAGTGCTAACTAATCAAGAAGTCTCTCTGAAAGGGCTTGTTTAATGGAAATCTTTCAGGTAGCATTAAGATATAATATGGGTCCACAGCACATGAGCAGCTGTTAATGAAGTATTAATTGAGGAGGGGATGAGGAGAACTGCCACCTTGCTCTTCAGGGAGTGAAAGCGAGGGCAATTTAGAAGAGAAGGAAGGAGAATGATAAGAATTAAAGTTGCGTAAATATCTGCTAACCTGCAGAAACTTAAGTTCCTCAGAGAGAGGAACTTAAAATTTTTAATGAAAGAGGTCCTGGAGAAGGTGGTGTGGTGTAAGTCTTCAGCTGCTGGCAGAGACACAGTTAACATGTAAACGGTTGAACTTCAGCATGGCACTTCTCCAAATGAGTTGACTGTTGAAAATAAAATGTTCCAGAAGAACTGGGAGAACAGGAAAGAAGTTAAAATAGCATGGCTTGTATGCCAGTGCTGAAAGAAGAAAAGGGGGGAGGAAGGGAGATAGCTCAACTTATGATAATTATCTTGTTGGTTGTAGTGAAAAGGCTCTAGCAGAAGTTTCCAAATGAGGGGACTAGATTTAATGCAATCTTAATTTATGTCCTGAGTTCTGGAAGTATTAGTCTACTTTCAGCATGTGTTTGGGAAGTTGAACACATGCGTAAATAAAAAGTCATATGAGATTGTTTTGGGGTTTGTTCCATTTTGTTCTTTTAACTTTGGAAACAATACCAAAGATCTAAAGTCTGACACTTATCTCTAGAGTTTTATGAAGCTGTGCCAGATGTTGCAGTACAAACGCAAGTCTGGAGAGTTTTGAAAGAGGGGATGAGATGGGGAAAGGGAAATCTTTATTTAGGGAAATCTTTAATTTCTGGTGTCTGATATTTGAAATACACAGGCTTATGTACAACTTTGTGTTTTATTTTTATTTTTTTTCTCTGTGTTCTCTTCATCTCTTACTGGTTGAATGTCATGGTACAGTTGCTTTGTTCAGCTTGAGTCAGTATCTGTTACAGCAGTCATCTCAAAATATCCTTGCTTAACCACTGATTAAAGGAGCTTTCCTTTAAACAGTGTTTGGAAAAAAAACTTTCCTCCACTATTGGTTGTGATTGGTTTGTAGTCATTTTTTGAGACATAATGATTATCAGAACATCAGTCCCAGATTTAGCCGTACTACTATACCTTTCATTTTCTCTTGATCTTCACCTCTTTGTTTTTGGCTAGGTGTTGTTTTTTATTATTATTTATTATTATTATTATTTTGTATATAATGATAGACGTCCATAGCTGCTGTCCGTAGGGAATACAGTGGGTTTTTGGCTGGGGCTAGAA